GTTCAGAATTACCCAGAATATAGTCATGGTTCCTATATATGGATCCTGGAGACAACGGAACGGTCTTCAAAAAATCCGGAACATCCGTAAAATGAGTCAATCCATGAACCTGATCCTAGAGCCCTGCGGTTTTTTGTGTGAAAACATTAGGGACTGTGATATAAAAAAATATTTCGGGTAGTGTCATATACATGTACCTGGGTGGCCATGGGACCGTCCTCCGGAAGATTCGGAACATCCGTAAAAGTTGACAATCCATGAAACTGATCCTAGAGCTCCGCGTTTTTTAACATTAGGATCTGTGATATAAGAATGAATTTGGGTCATGGACCCAAATAGCCAGCGGAAGATCCGGTAAATCCTTAAAAGTAGTAAATCCACGATCCTGATACTAAAACTCCGGGTTTTTTTTATAAACATTAGGAACTGTGATGATAGAAGCAATTTGGGGTTGCCATCTGGTTCCATGTCCCAAATTCATTTTTATATCACAGATCCTAATGTTAAAAAAAAAACGCGGAGCTCTAGGATCAGTTTCATGGATTGTCCACTTTTACGGATGTTCCGGATCTTCCGGAGGACGGTCTCATGGCCATACAGGTACAGGTTTAGGTCACGACCCCAAATATTTTTTTTATATCACAGTTCCTAATGTTTTCAAAAAAAAAAAAAAACGCAGAGCTCTAGGATCAGGTTTATGGATTGACCACTTTTACGGATGTTCCGGATTTTTTGAAGAGCGTTCCGTTGTCTCCAGGATCCATATATAGGAACCATAACTGTTTTCTGGCTAATTGTGAACATTTGTGCCCATTAATCTAAATTACAGATCTTGCGCCACTTGCAAAACCCTACAAAAACACTTTTCAAAAAAACGAGTAACAACTCTTTTCGCTTTTTAAAAAATTAGACGACTCTATTTTCAATCTTTTTGCAATCAAAATCATCTACAAACCCTAGGAATTCTAAAGCTACCACAATTTTTGAAATTCATTAAGAAATGGCTAAGTTATGTCATTAAGAAATGGCTATGTTATTGCAAACTTGCCGTTACACGTTTTTCGGATGCATCGTATTCGGAATGTTAAAAATTATAAAGAAGGGAGCTTAAACATGAGCCCTGGGGGAGACCCATGTAACTAATTCGTGAAGTTGTTGAGTTTCCATGAGAGAAGCTCATATATTTATCAGACAACAAGTTGCTCAAATAGTTGTTCATGATTGGTGAAAGCCCACTATCGTGGAGTTTATCCGAAAGGACGTTGATACAAACATAATCAAAAGCCCCCTTAATGTCCAAGAAAACTGAACCCATTTGCTGTTTTTGCGCATAGGCCTGTTGAATTTCAGTTGAAAGCAACGCAAGACAGTCGCTCGTTCCTTTGCCTCTCCGAAATCCAAATTGCGTATCTGAAAGTAAACCATTCGACTCGACCCATTTGTCTAGATGAAAAAGTATCATTTTCTGCAACAATTTCCGTATACAGGACAGCATCGCGATGGGACGGTACGAGTTATAATCCGACGCGGGTTTACCAGGTTTTCAAATGGCGATAACTCTTACTTGCCTCCAGTCATCCGAAACAATGTTGTGCTCCAGAAATTGACTGAATAAGTTCAACAAGCGTCTCTTTGCGACGTCTGGGAGATTTTTGAGCAGGTTGAACTTGATTCTATCCATTCCTGGAGCTGAGTTGTTACATGAGAGGAGAGCAAGTGAGAGTTCCACCATCGAAAACGGGGAATCTTTTTCGTTACTACCCGACGGGAGATCACGAACGTTGATTTGAACCGACACCGAATCCGGGCAAACTTTCCACGCGAAGCTGAATATCCAACTGTTTGAGTACTCCTTGTCTTCGTTGACCGGTGATGACGCCTTTCGCATTCTCCTGCCGACAGTCCAGAGTGTTCTCATGGAAGTCTCTCGCGACAAACCATCGACGAACTGACGCCAGTAGCCGCGTTTTTTTTGGCTTTAATCAAGCTCTTAAAAGTTTTCTCGAGATCGGTGTACCGCTCGAAATCTCCGACCTTACCGTGTTGGCGGTAGCGTTTAAACGTGGCGGACTTCGCTGTTCGCGTCGGTGCAATCCTTATCCCACCACGGATTGAGACGTCGTTTGTGAACGGAAACACCGGAACGCGTTTTAATAGATGTCCATGGTTTAAAAAAAAATAAAAAATAATTTTTCGTTCCCTTAGTGTATACCCCCTTAAGCAAAACTTTTTACCACTCAAATAAAGTACTCAAAAATGAAGTAAACATTCTAAAAGACATCAAAGTGCTACACTCAATAGTTTCGTCGCAAATGGCCATGTCCCACCTTTTTTATTTCGTCCCACTGTGCGCCGGTGCTGCTCGTTAAAATTTTCGGGGGAAGTGTTGCTGTTGGAAAATTGATCGGATCGAAATGAGGTAATGACGATGAAGGAACGGACGAGCTGTCACGACTTTCGAACAGCGGCATATCAGAAAGGTACGAGAACTTCATTAACTTGAACGGAAAGAGAACCGTTCGAAAAATATTACTCATGGCAGCTGTATGACACTCCGGCCTTCCTCATCACTTTGCTCGTAAATTGCGCACAGGGTTACTTCCACTCACTTCGCTATAAAACTACAAGGGACAGCCCAATGGGGTTGTACGCAATGATGCCGTAGGACTACGTTGTATGAGATAATAAATATTTTTGTTAACTGCAGCAGGAGCTTGTGTTTTGTGTAGGAATAGGAATTTTAGCGGGGTTCTATCTGTTTATTCTCTTTAGTATGACTATGATTGTCCTCAAATTAACCAAGACGCGTACAATCCAAGCGGTTTTTGTTGATTCTTTTGTATTTCGATTGGAATATCACTGTAAACGCACTACTTACCTGGAACTACCCCAACACAACAAATGAATGCAAATGTTTGTCGGTACTGGATTAGTAGTGGTAGATCTCATACCAGTAACGACCAACTTAGGTTAAATCTAATCTTTCAAATCCCGATAAGAAAGTTAATCAAAAACACCTTTAAAATTCATTTGGTGGCCCTGAAAAGGGCCGGTTTTTTGTCTGAGTCGATGATGCTAATTTATCCTCCGAAACCGTACAGAGTGCGTCCCTGTCGCTTCAGGGCGTAAACGACATCCATTGCAGTGACGGTCTTCCTCTTGGCGTCTCGAATAACGTTCTCCAGAAACGCCTTCAACACGCCTCTGGTTTCCTCGTAAATAAGCCCGGAAATTCGCTTGACTCCACCACGATGAGCCAGACGACGGATGGCAGGTTTAGTGATGCCTTGAATGTTATCACGCAGCACTTTTCGATGACGCTTTGCTCCACTTTGCCGAGTCCTTTACCTCCCTTGCTACGTCCATTCATTGTTTAAAATTGGGGATGTATCGTCGGTGAAGGTTGAAACGAAAGTGAACAAAAATTCTTTTTTTTTTAATTGAATTTATCTTTATTTCTTGTATTTGTTTGGTTTACATGTATGGATTTTCAAGTGACACAGATGCGTCTTTTCAACTTTAGTTATTTTGAAATTTCAATTATTCTTTAATGTTCCTAGTCCTATCAGGCCTGTTAGAGTATGACCACCTTGGTGGGATTGGTTTGTTTTGAATTGCAAAAAGGAGACTACTTAAAACTATTATTTACAGCTACAACTAATCTACAACTACTATATACACCTGGCCTACTATATACAAATTGCTTATCAAAGCATGTTCTGATGTATTGCATTTCTGCACAAATTTGTTCCTAGTTTCGTTAATTTGAAAATCTACTTTCGGAATGTTAGCCTCTTGATGGAGGTCGGAAATGCGGGTATCGAAAGGACGATCTAAGATCATCCTCAATACCCTGTTCTGCGCTACCTGTATTTTGTTCCTGTGCGTTTGTGCACATGATTCCCACACCGGAGCTGTGTAGAAGATCGCAGGCGCAATGATTTGTTTGTAGACAGCCAGTTTGTTCACGCTAGAGAGACGAGATCTGCGGCAAATTAGCGGATACAAGCACCTAACTAGATTGGAACACTTAACTACTGCCCTATCTATGTGCGAGCGGAAAAGGAGCTTCTCGTCAAATAACATACCAAGATATGTTACTTCGGTGGACCACTCAATCCTTGTGCCATCCATTATTACAGTACAAGAGGGAACCGGTTTTAGTTTTGGAGATTGTCGATGGAGGAACATTATTGATTGGGTTTTGGAGGCATTGATTTTGATTTTCCACGTGGTGGCATAATCAGCAAAGGCGTCAAGGCATCGTTGAAGTTTGTTTGTTATTTCACGAGGCCTCCTTTCCTTTACGGTTATAGCGGTATCATCTGCGAACAGGAAGAACACGCCACCGTTGCCCAAGGGAGGAATGTCGGAAGTGTAGATGCTGTTTAGCAAAGGGCCCAACAGACTTCCTTGCGGAACACCTGCTGGGATGAAAAAGGTGTTTAAATTGCAACCATTCAACGATACCTTAAACGACCTTTGCTGGAGGTAGCTTCGGGTGATTTTTACAAGATGTGGTGGAAAGTTGAAGTTACAAAGGTTGTACACAAGTCCGTCATGCCATACATTGTCAAACGCTTTTTCAACTTCTAACAATGCCATGGCTGTGGACTTGGATACAGCTTTGTTACTTCGAATGTTATTCATCACCCGAACTAGCTGGTGATGTGTGGAATGCCCTTTTCTAAACCCAAACTGTTCAGGTAGGAGAATGTTGTTCTCCTCGACAAACTTGAGTAAACGATTGAGAATTAGTTTCTCGAACAATTGGCTCAGCGCTGAAAGGAGTCTGATTGGTCTGTAGCTAGAAGGTAGTGATAGATCCTTACCGGGTTTGCGGATTGGTATGCGTGAACAAAAATTCAAAATTTCAGCTTTTTTATACCTACTCGAGGGTTAAATTCTTCTTGTTAGTTGTTGTATACTTGTTCTTTCATCGTTTCTAATTGGTTGAACACAGCAAACGCTTTCATCGAATCCACATCGTACCTAAGCAGACCGCTCGCAAGTCCACTGGAGGTAAGGCTCCTCGCATGCAGTTGGTAACGAAGGCCGCTCGCAAAAGCGCTCCAGCCACTGGAGGAGTAAAGAAGCCTCATCGCTACCGGCCAGGCACCGTCGGCCTGCGTGAGATCCGTCGTTATCAGAAATCGACCGAACTGCTGATCCGCAAGTTGCCTTTCCAGCGTCTGGTCCGTGAAATTGCCCAGGACTTCAAGACCGATCTGCGGTTCCAGAGCTCAGCTGTTATGGCTCTACAGGAAGCTAGCGAGGCTTATCTGGTCGGTCTGTTCGAAGATACCAACCTGTGTGCCATCCACGCCAAGCGTGTCACAATCATGCCAAAGGAAATCCAGCTGGCTCGTCGTTTCCGTGGTGAACGCGCTTAATTTGCCCGTCGAAAATCTTACAAAAATGTACGTTCAATTTGTTCATGCGTTCGCTTTCTGACATTGGTTTCGAGATTTTGAAAACAAACATACAGCCTGGGCCCATACATCCCATGAGGCGGGTTAGCAAATCATCGCGGACTGGCACTGCTCACCATACACGGTACGTTACATGGGTCGAGCCAGAGACGGTGTTTAATAAGAGACGCGAAGACTGAAGCCAAAATTTTAAATGTTCCAATCGAACCGTCAAACGCGGTTTAAATCGAGCAATGTACACTCAAAACATTTGACAATAATGACAATAAATATGGTACTTGGACGGCATCCAAGTACCAATACAAATTATGGTACTTGGATGCCGTCACTGAACACGCCAAGCGCAGACAGTTACGGCCATGGATTATCACCAACAACCAATCAACAAAACGGCCCTTTTCAGGGCCACCAAGTTCATTTAAGAAAAGAGTTGGAGTAGAATTTTTAAAGAACTACAAAAATAGTTTTCACCATTAAGTTAAGGCTATTTTTTCTAATTGATGGCACTGTTCCATTGATAGTACGTTAGAAATTTGGAAAAGTGGATGGAATGCTTTGGATGCATATTATGGTCAAAAAAAGTCATAAGAAATCGTTCAGTTTTTTCCTAGAAATTTTTATTAAATAGTATTTTCTTACAGAATATGTTAAAAAGGGAGGGAATTTTTATGTATTTTTTATGCAGAATATGCAAAATGGGAGGGACTTCAAATGTTAATCCCCTATGTGATATATTTTTTGAGTGTATCCCCTGTTTCCAAGTTTGGTCACAAGATTACAACTCAGGAGAGCATTTTGTGTGGTTGTTGGGAGCGTGAGGTTCTGAATATGGCGATGAGTGTGCAAAATATTACGCAAATCCATCCTCCCTATTTGCACGCACCCGAGGATCGGAGGCGAATGCCACTTCGACTTGTTTCGTCTACTTACTACTCTCTGACGACTGTGCTGGGAAAGCAGCATATGCATGTACGTAATTGGTGGATTTGTTAATTATTTCGATGCTTTTGGACAATGCTTGACATTTACTACTTTTTCAATAGTTTCTTTTTGAACACAAACAGTCAAAAGCATTGATATCGATGCGTAAGCGTAGCCCTGATAGATTGGTGATAAAATTATTGAAATTGGTTCAGGGGCAGCCGAGTTATTAACGTTCAAAATCTTTCATAATTTGGTTACATGTTCCATTTTTAGTTTTCACAAAGTGTACCCCCATAAAGAAATCAAAGACGTTGTCCTACGTCAAAATATGTTTTTCAAAATTATGGAATCATTGGATACTATTATGATAGTTTGTACTTGTCAGAAACAAGAAGAGCTTGAAAAGTATGCGTTCACTCAGAGTGAGCTCTCACGAATCGTAAAATCGCTGATTGTGACGCACTGAAAGCATTAATGTCAGGTTTTATGTGTTGAACACCTAGTTTACAACCTTTTCTTGTAACTTACAAGTACCGTAAAACGGAGTATCTTTGATAATGCGGGTAGCTTTGAAAGTATAATATAAAGATTAAATTTACTTGCTGTGCTTTTTCCAAATTAGAAACATTGGTTTCATATTGTGGCTTAGGGTATTTCCGTTGATATCCTATGAAGTTTTTATATAGTATGTGTTACATATTATACAAACATATTAAAAAAACAATTTTCGTGTTTTTCGCCTGTTTGAAAAAGCACTCAAACCATCACTAAAGAAATGTATTTTCGATATAGCCATCACAAATTTAATGTGGTATTCTTATTGCTTATGATGTTTTCTGATTATATACTCATTCAAAGTTTCATATTCAAAGAACTAAATTTTTTGAGTTTCAACCATATTTTTCTACATTCGTCGAGCATTATCAAAGTAACCCCAAATCAAAAAACTGAAGTTCGGACACAAAACTAAAAAAAACAGTGGAAATGCTTTAATTACCATTAAACATATTACTGACAAACTGACTCTTAGATCCTCAGTACTTGTTTTTTTTTTTTTTGTTAATTACTTTATTTGTACAGGCTTATTCGAATAAACTTTACAGAGAAGTACTTGTTTTAAAAATATAAAATTTGAAAAACATTCATTGCTGTAAATATTATTTAGAATATACTTTAAAAAACTATCAATGTTACCCCGTTTTACCGTACTAATTATCAATATCTTATGGTTTCATAATTCCGAAAAAAAACTTTTTTTTTAGCAAGTGAGTAGAAGCAACCCTGCCCACAGGAGGCACTTTTACGCGTATACATCGTTTGAGAGTTAGCCCTGATTCAACAATATATGATAATTGAAATATCTCTACAATTTTTAACTCTGCCATTTGTGGGATTGGATTAATGTCATTTTTATTACATCGCGTTCGGGACATGAGATATGCAAGTCCTTCAAGCGTGATAAAAAATTCCCAGAAAATATTTGCTTGCAGTTATGCAAAGAATTTACAGATTTTCCCTGAAACTTCCTCGAACACGCCCGCGACAATGACAACAACGAAAAAAAAAAAACCATTCGAAGAGCTCAGCAACACGATTGCATTTTCCATGATATTGAATTGTAACCATTTACGCACTTCAACGATTTTTATGAATGCCCGACTCCAGAGCATTGAAGCGCTTTTGCCATCCGTCCGTGGTGTGTATCCCGGTATATAGTAACAGAGCGGCTGGCAGACAATCTCACGCGCTTTTATGCACTTTGCATACGAAACTAGCAGAACCGTGTTAGGACACCGCACTGGCCAGGTCTGTCCGTGGGTAGACCATGCCGCCTCCGCAGGCCGGGAGTAACACCAGGATGGATCCACTCGTCCGTGTTCCGGAATGATGCCGCGCTCCATTGAAGATCCATCCCCGGTGGAACGAGCAGTCCAACGGATATGATGAACAGCACCAGCCAGTCAGTTGCCAGTGCACTTGAGTTGACCATGCTTGGTGTTGCGGGGTGGGTTACAATGAAGGGAACCCACCGATTTCGTCATACGCAAAACGGGCCCAACCAGATGCTAGCAGAGGAGGATGCATTTACCATTCAAGCACACCGTGACCGTCGTTGTCGTAGCTCAGTCTCCCATTCACTGCCACCATGCAGAATAGGAGTACGGTCGATGAGTTACCAATTCAGTGGCGGCGGGAAATTATCATAGTAATGGACGTGAAATGTAAATGAGTGGCAATTGAATCTTGGTGCCGGAATGTTTCCACAGATGTCACTCTGTTTTTGGGGTTCTTTTGCGAGTGACGGACCGAGGGCTTTCAAGAGATGCAAAACTTTTCAAGTACATTAACGTGTAACCGTCCGTTGAATTCTCTTAAAGAGAAACTGTCTAAAACGCAGGGGCTTATGCGCCACTTTCGGGATCGAAAGACCACTGGTCGTGTTGAATTGCCCAACTATGCTCTAAATAGCAAATAATGAGTCCTCAGGGGAGTCTTCGAATGGTTGATACTTACGCTGACAGAACTGGCAAAATCTGAACAAAATTCACGTTTCCAACCGGTCATACGTACAAAAAGGTGTGACCGTGCCAGGAGAACGAAATGCGAGGTGAACGAAAAACAAAAGTGAAATCAAGTTGACGGAAAGCTTTATCAAGGGAATGGTTCGTAGCATAAATTAGAACAGAACGTAATTTCATGTGAATGAAATTCATTTATTTTTTTTTAATTTGGTTTGAACTTTGTGTGTGTTAATGATTTCGTGTAATGGTTATATTGATGACGTCCCTGCGCAGCATTTATGCTGGCGTTGAATTCTCGACAGGTACGGCATCGGTCGAGTGGTCCGTCGAACCAGTGGGGCCAGGCCGGACAATAATCTTAAAATCAACTTTCAGTTTTCATACTTTTTTTTTTTTTTTTTCTTTATTAACGAGATTTTCAGCCTTAGGAGGACCATACTTTTTAAATTTTCCTTTGTTTTAATATGTTTGAAAATTTTGAGGTAAATCGGATACAAAATGAAGCTTCTAGATTTTTTTTGAAGTTGCAATGGTATGTAAATTTTGCAAGAAATTATAATGCAAAAAAAAATTCGGTTTAGGTTTGTCACGTATTTGGTGATTTTATATATTATTCATCTTTATACCTAAAGATGGTTTTTAATAGAAAATTTTCTCAGAAATTCATCGAAGCACATAGATTTTTTGTAAATTTAATGTATTAAAAGTTGCAGACAGAAATAAAAGAATATGATTTTTTCTATCTGTCTTCTAAACTTTCACAGCGTCATCTACATGTCACTAAACGGGAAGAAATAAACCACACCTATCCCATCGAAAATTATAGCTTCGTTTTGCGCCGATTTGCGCCAAAGTATCAAATTTGATGATTTCTCTAGATTTTTTTTTTTAACGATAAGCAATAGATTTTGTCCAAAATAGTTGTTATACATCTGTAATTGTATTATCAGCATGACGCTGAAAATTCGTTGCTCCCTCATCGTTGCTCCCTGCCCATGGTAAACACTGATTAAAAAGTGACTATCACCTTTATTTTAAACCACATTGCGCTCTGCCGTTGTGTTGACTTCCGCAAAACAAAAGAATTAATGCTCTCGTTCCCCAGCTAAGCATCGATAGAGTGGGCAAACCATTGTATTCAGAGTGTGCATAACAGCTGACTGACGTTCATTAATAGTTTGACAACGAAGTCATTCAGTAGTGTTTCTCGGAATTTAAATGATCTCCAGTTGCTTTAATCAATGTTCAAGTTTCATGTAGCTGAAATGGGGTCCAAGTCCTCTGGTGAGTTATTTTATGCAATGAAGTTATGTTTTGTTTACCATTTGTATTTTCCAACATTTAGAAATTTCATTACAAAGAATAGATATCTTGGAATCTACGTACAAAATATCAGATACTGTAGAAACACGAAAGTCATTCGTGATCGGGTGAATTGCGATGTTGAAGCTGCGATGTTGCTAATCAATCTGTTCTGGCGTGAATTCCGCTGGCGTCGCTGGCAGAAAAGTCAAC